ACACATTTATTATCAGTGAAAATACTACTGCACCTAAGTACCTACCTACTTCAAACTTCATAGTGCGGGTTTTGGAATCATTGTAGACCTAGATGAATAAGAGAGTCTCATCCATATTGAGTCACCGTGAGTCACTCTTTTCAGACTTTTGTTACCTACCTACATACTTACTAGGTAGCTCTACTTATTTAATGGCCAAAATTTTATTGATCATTAATCACAATGAAATGCTTAATATTTTTTCAGCCAATAACTGAAGTGGCGTACTGAGTAGGTACTTAAACAGTAACTATCTCTGGTACCGTCAATAGTTGCAACCTACTTACATCTCCCTTTTATTTTTTTTGCCTATCTAAAACGAATTCTTAGACACAATTTTATCCATCTAATAAATATTTTCCTCTCAGAGGCTCAACTCAATTACCTACAAACAGCTTCCATACGTCGTATCTGCGCGGCACAGAAGCGCGCCCGGGGCGCAGACAATATCGCCCCGATTGAATTATCGACCCGATAATAGGATCGCGAGAGTAATGCCCCTGTATATTGTTCCAGCTACTTTAATTATCGAGCATATCCACCCAACTTGTTTATTAAAGCCGCCGATATTGAATTGTTGCTTGTCCAGACACTTTGTAATTGTACAGCCTCTCCTTTAGCCGCCTAAGCTGTGTAGCTCCTTTGTCTTCTTCCAAGATTACATAATTATACGTACCTAAGCGTTTCATGGTGTTTAGGCTGTTCTTTCTTAGGTGCTTAGGGGATTCTTGGATGGCTTAAACATGGAGTGCAGGTGCGGTTTTGTTCCCCAGTCGATGAAGCACCTGATGTCGTGCCCTGAGTGCCCGAACAACTGCACTCAGGAGGATTTGATGAGTGCTGCTGACAACGCCACTCTTGTGGCGGAGTTTTGGACTGACACTGTGTAGGTTTGTTGTCGACACAAAATGAAGAAGGTGCTTAACGATATAGGTTAGTAATCATTATTTAAAATAAATAAAATTAAATAACTTTAAATACGATTCTGCGCATCAACTGCGGCAGAAAATACACAAAAACTATACTTACATGGTATCAATTTCACAGATCACCGAATTTAACAGCGTAACTGCCACCCCTGGCCAGATCGATGCTCCTGCGCCGATAGCAATCAAGATGGCGCCCGAGGCGTCATCGACTGTCACCAAACGGTCGCACTCAACGACTGGACATAAATTAAATGGCCATCCACGTCACTCAAACCCACAGACCTGAAGGAATACGCTCGGAAGCCAGGTAGTTAAGATCCAAAACAAAAATGGAGATAACACCAGTTGAGATGTTAAACTTTATTAGTAGCTAACAAAGTGAAGCTAATTTACGTCCTTTTTGGTCGTAACGGGGAAATGAATCGACGACACTCGTTAATCATTGGAAACGGATATCGTGGGAAACCCAAATTACTGCCTTCTGAGGTTTAATGCTCTACAAGAGACTAAACTGACAAAAGAGAAATGAAACATATCAAGCAACAAGTTAACTTTAATAAGGATGTCGTAATTCACTGTAGCGTATAGCGTAAACGCTAAGTTACGCTAACTATTAAGTAGAGAAAAGTGATTCGCGGTCCTTAAACCATGTAAGATTTCTTGTTGTTTTAATTTGAGTTGTACCACTAGAAAACAATTAGAAAGTCGCACAATATCTTGGTATGATAAAACAAACGCGTCCCTGACCGAGGCAGCCATAACGAAAACCATCAATTTGAACAAAACGTAGTTTCTTCTGCAATGGCGTATAGTGCGCAGCCGCAGCGCACGAGGTATTGCAATTCATTACGACAGTAACGTCGCCCGATGGATGCTGCGACTAAGCCACAACTAAATTACTCCAAGCACTCGTAATCTACCCAGCCGCGTAACAATAGAGCAATAAATGCTGTATCCGAAGACGAGAAAGCTACCATATCGACAACGGATAAATCAGACGAAACCCGCCACTACACACAAGACACCCCGGAAATATAGCGTGGAATGCTGCAAAGCAAACACCAGCACATAAGTCAATTTTCTGTTGCATAAAATACGGCGTGGTTCATAGAAATCCGGCGCTGCCCCTGTGAACTCCACTTATCTGCCTCATCGGCGAACTGATTTATTTGTAGAAACCGACGCCTAGCCGTCCGCTCGCATATCACTTTAGTTATCGGCAATTTTTTAACAATAACTCAAGTTTAACGTGAAAATTCCAAGCTTTTGTTTATTTTTTAATTTATTAAGCTTTTGTGAAGAATTTAAGGTCACATTAATGTTAAAAATAACTAATATGTGAAACTGAATACGTCTCTTGAAACGCAAGTGTCATAATGTAAAAATGTTTTAAACCAAGAAATATTTTAAACGCAAGTTTCATAGATGTAGACTCTTTTCACACAAAAACTAATGGACAGATTTTAGTCAAACTTTACAATAAGGATTAGTTGAGCTAATTTTCTTCAATATCCAAACGGCCGGCAAACCGCGGGCATAAGCTAGTCTGAACTAAAAATAAAGTTCATTCATCATAAAGCAAGTTACTGACTCAGAAACAAACCGAACAGTAGCATATCTTGCAATGCCTAATATAGTTTATCGGAAACACAGCGTTCTGTTTCTGTCACACGAAAAGTGGAATCCAATACGTTTGGATCCACATTTAGCCGCAGCACAAAGCCGTTATCGTCAAACATGCTTCAAATTGTATTGTGCAACTCGAATAGACTACTAACGTCTCTTTTAATGTATTGATCTGGTGTCACAGTCTGTTCCACTGTGTTTTCATTTTCCAGATGATAAAACGTTGTTTTATTACAGACCGCATTGTAACAAAGAGGTGCGCGATGACCAACATCACGTAGACGAAGAAACCTCTTAGATGTGACATGACCAAAGGAAATTCGGTGCAATTATCCCAAATTCTTCCACGACGTATTTCGTAAGGGCAATCTAGAGGTCATAAGAGCAGGTTGATGGAAAATCTGCTTTATTGCTGAACATAAACTTAAAAATAACTTGATAGATCCTATCAGTTCTATTTGTAGAGTATAATTTTAGGGACAACTGCGTAGTATGCGGATGAGGATGCTAATTGACTGAGTCATTGTTTTGGTTAATAATAGCTTTTGTCGTTCAAATTAGTAGTTGTCGGTTTTTGTTTTTTCCTTACAACTATCTTAGTAATGACATAAAAAAGGCATTACCATATTTTTATGATGCAGATGCTTCCAACAACTATTTTTAAAGCAGAGATGCAAACAGCAAACAATATAGTACATTACAATATTTTATTCGATAAACAAAAGAACCAATCTAAGACAAAATAAATCTACTAAACAATGCATTTATTTATAGAAGTATGAACTTACGAGTCACAGTAATCTAATAAGTAGTTTACTTAAATAAAACAGAATTATCACTTTCCTTTTTAACCATGCACCCTCACCAAAATTACGCAACATTGTCCACTAGAAACACAATTTAGTTAAATGTTTCGCGCACAATCTTATCTGAGGAGCGATTCTTGTACAAGAGTTCATAAAAAGAAGAAATACCAGATTTAATGTGGTGGAATGAATTGGAATACACTGTTTATGATGTGTCGCATACGAAAAGAACAAAATATATGAAATTTAAGGCACTGTTCTCACCTCTTGTTCCCACCACTGCAACTTCTTTGTAGCTAGGATCTATAGCTTGACAGTCAACAAAAACTCAACCACTGAAGGCCGAAATTGTCAGGACCTACCATTTCTGTCTTGAGAATCGACCCCCAAGTCCGATGCTGTTTACGACAGAGATGACACGATGCGTCAAGTGCCCATCGCTCGTCATAGGCGCCCGCGTTGATACAATCGAGCGCGTACAACTACGTGATACCGACGAGCCACCATAATTAGACTTGTTCTCATGATACACTGTTACGAATTAGGTTTGGTTGTTTTAGAAATAATCTAGAACTTTCTTTGGTTTACATTTTGTAGAATCTGAATGCTTTGCACGAGTTATATGAAGTGAAATTGATAAGAAGTGCGATTAAGATGACTAAAAAAGATCTTGTAGTTAAATTAGGTACAATTGCGTTGCACACCAAAAAATTTTAATGACCTGCCGAAAAAGATTTCCTCATAGATTTTACATTAATAGGAAAGTTGTGATTTCACTTAGGTATTTAAAACTGAATTGGGATTCATATTCACTGAGAGGATAGAAAATAAAACGAGGATGAATGTTTGCTTTTTTTATTCCACTCATTACCTACGGCATATAGGTATAAATAAGTTGATAATACAATATGTAAAACAGAATCCATATACAAAATATCACTTTAAAAGAGAGGCTTCAAATATTTCATATTATTATGCACATTTTAAAACTTATTATGCATTTGAGGATCAAATTTTATACAAGGTGTCCCAGAATGGGTGAATCAAACTGCCAGGGGAGATAGCTGTACTAATGTACTATCCCTAAAAAATATGAAAAAAAATATTTGAGTTCGGAATTATTTTTTAAACTAAACTCTAAACTCGAAATCTAGTCATTATTCTCAAAAGTGTGTTTACAGATAAACGAAGCTATCATGTACAATTAATATTAGTAACAAAAAAGTACAAATAAACTCCAAACGCAGCAATTATAGCCAGATACTTAGACAAAGCAGATTTATTTTCACTTTTAAAAAAAAAAATTGTTTGTGTCCTTATGCGCATTATTTTTTTTTTCATATTTTTTAGGGATAGTACATTAGTAGAGCTACCTCCCCTATCAGTTTGATTCACCCATTCCGGGACACCCTGTATAAGGCAGTTTGTATTGTAACAGTTAAAACTATTGAAAGTCCTATTGCGGTCTTGCTTGATGAAGCAATTACATTTTGATGCAACCGAATAGGAAGGTAAAATCTAAGGACCGAATACGAAACTTGATTCAAACTCAAGCATAGATTAAGCCTGTAATAGCGTATTTCATAGTTTTGACCAATCATAGCCTTGAATCTATTAGCCAGTTTGAACTGAGTTTTGAACTTCGTTTCATACGGCCTAATAGTAATAAGGGTAAAACACGTAAACGTTTCTACATTCAGTCTATTTCCAGGTAAAACTTCATTGCTAGGTTTATAATATGCGTTAAGGGTTGGTCTAAAATAACAGAAGTTACTATTTGTATACTGAAGAGTTACTACGGACACTGTAGTCTGTCAGTAATCATATTTATAGTCGTAAGATCTATCTGAGTCTGTGCTGTTTTTATGAGTGGTATTTTGTCTTCGTCTTCTTCTTTTTTCCCTCCTCGAAATGCCACTACCTTCATTCCTATCTTGTTCACAGTAAGAAGGGTGTTTTACGTATCTGCCATTAGTACTAGCATCGTCAAATTCATTAGCGTCTTTGTTTTGTCTACATTCGTCCCTCCACGATTCGCCGTTGTATGTGTACTTCTTCTTTACACCCTTTCTCTCATTTTCATGTGCATTATGTTTTTCTGAGTTAAGCAGGTCATCTTCCACATCTTCGTCACCATTTTGTATAGGCTTCACTTTTGTATGATTACCAAATTGAGGCGGAGGTGGTGGTTTTCCAAGTATGTCAGCGATATAATTTTCTCTTTCAATTTGATATCCACGAGCTAATTCAAACCCTGTAACAATATTAATTAGGTTATTTTAATACAGTCACGTTAAAGTGTACATATGAAAATAGATTAAACTAGACCTATTTTTATCGTCAAAAAAGAGGTCAAAAAGTTTTTGAGATTTTTTTTTAAATTTTTTATAGAATTTGTTTTTCTTNAATTACTTATTGTAAAGAAAACGTAATAACTTTTAAACTAAGCGGTATATCCTGATAAAATAAAAACAGTAATAATGCTAAATAACAGGCGATACTAAAAAAATACATAAAATACACAAAAAAGGCCAACAAATGATAAAAAATGATACTTTTTGAAAAAAATCTGCTTTTAAATTCGTGTTTTTTTGGTTATTTGATAAATTTCTCCAAAAAATGCCCCTATAACCGGTAGTTTTTATTACTTTGTATTATTCTCTATCGTATTACCTTCGTAAAACCAAAAATTGCATGTCTCTATCCCTATCACAACGTTTGCAATGATCATGTATGTCAGAATCAGAAAATATTTGTCATCCTTAACCAAAGTACCAACTTATCCCATCCATAAGGTTTGGTCCCTGTAAATGCTACAAGTTCGAATCAAGAAACTACTTGAGTGAGACCTGTAGGCCAAGGAGACGCCCCGTGATAAGTTTTTAGCGTAGGGTTTTATCGATTTTACGAAATAAGTCCAAATGAGTTAGAACGCTAGTTTATTTTTTTAAAGGCACAATAAGGTTAAAAGGCAAAGGTTTAAAAGGTTTAAAACTTACTCTTGATGGCGACCTTCGGGTCGATGTTGAGCCGGTCCCGCATGTACCGGCACACCATGTACCCAGTCCGGTTCAGCCCGTGCGTGCAGTGGACTCCCACCAGCTTATCTGTAAGAGGAACAACATTCGTATACAATGTTTCAATAAATATAAGTACTATCTATTTACTCCCAAACTACATAATGCTTGAACGAATTCCTGAAGACCTCCTAAAGAAAACATCGATTGATTTTGCATGAGCTCGGACTGAATGACATTGAATCGAATTATTTTCTGAATTGAATTATTTTCTATTGACGTTCATAAGTGCCACTTGTGGTCTAAACTGAATAAATATTTTTGATTTTGATTTTGATTTTGAATCATCATCAGCATCGGGTCATTTACTATTAACATTTACATCGTAGCTACTGCTATAGCCTTTGTTATTTGTCATAGGCAAATAAAGAAAATTTGTTTCAATGACATTGAGTAGCAGAAGGCAATGTAATCTCCAGTTACCGTTTAATATACGAATCCGATCAAAGAAATTCCAGAACAATGTAAGTAAGAGCAGGTAAAATCTCACTACGGTGTTTTCTACGACGACAAATGCTATTAATGGCCCGGGTACTTGCACCGAGAAAACAAATGAAAACGCACAAACGAATCGATAAAGCAAAACGTTTGCTAAACGAAAAGCATGTTTGTGTGTTCAAAATCGCACCGCAAGAGGGGGCGGGGGTCGTTGACTCGCGCCCTAGGGGGGAGGGTGGCGAGGAAGTCGCAGCCGCGGTTTAACACTTCCTCAGGAAGACCTTTGAAGTTGCACGAAAGATGTAGGGGCATATGTTGCTACGATTTAAAGATAGTTCCGCTTCGGAGGAGGTTTGAAGAATTTATATTTCTGACGATTGACCAATAAATCATAAAATGTATAACCCAATTTTTAAACCGAATTACAAATCGTTTAAGGACACCGGTATTTTTGCACGTCTACAAACATTCATTCCGCATTTTTACATTCCCGCCGTGAAAATCTCATTTAGATTAAGACAAATGGCAAAACCAAATTTCAGTCAAGGATGAAGACGAAAACAAGAGAACCCTCGACACCTTTGTGCTCGACACAAAGTGTTGAATATTAACGTATGCGAAACATCGATGGAGATAAAGATCAGTTTTGTTTCGGACAATCGCGTAATAAACGTGAAAAATCGAGCGCGCGCCTTAAACATTTCTTTAGCACGAGACAAAAAACGAACAAACGTCAAGGATTGTGTATGCAGAATTCCCACGGAGCGGCCAAGTAATGCATTTGAGGCATTACACATGCAAATTCATGCCAACCCGGCTCGGGACAGACAAAAAAACGTTTTCATTTACAACAATCCATCAAGAGCCTTTCGCCGCAACTTAATTAACGAGTGAGCATGTTTTCAATTACAAAAACAAACAGCCTGCAATGATAATTGCAAGAAACTGACTCAACGGATAATGCAAGGAGGCACTTATTTTTAAATGAGACTTACTTTAACGTAATTGAGTTTTTGTTTCAAGGTCTTTGGGATGAGGAAACGACGTTTTAAGTTTGAGTGACACGTGTTTGTTACCCGTCTGTTTTAAGTCTAATTAACATTTTGTTCCATTCAATAAACGAACATCTCCAATGAACAATGACTAATCATAACAAACGGAATCAAAGTTCCAATTAACAAAACATAACCGAACTCATCTGCCCACTGGCAGGCACTTAGCATAGAAAGAGTGCATACGCACAATGCAATTGTAATAAACTCGATTGAAAATAAACACAACACTGGCAACCGAGTCAACGGGCCCGGGCGAACGGACAAAAGGTATCAAAAGAAGGCGTTACGTGATTATAATAACGATATAATATGGTGAATAATATTATTGCGTAACAGAAGGTCCCATAGATCCGACAACCAGTAGAATAGGCGCCGCACAGCGGGCGAACAGTAAAATTTGAGTCACGGACGCAAATTAATGCTAAAACGTCTGTGTATACAAAAGTATTTTGCCCCTTAAAATGCGTTTTATGATCACGAGACGCGTGAAACCGAATCGGTCAGTGATGACTGATCGTGAAAGTTTCTATTGTAGATAAAGACAGCGGTCATAAAGACAGTATCGAAATCGATAATGCCCTTTCTACAATGAAAAACCACTCATGTTTTAATTATTTTTAAAGTGTCAGTTTCGCAACAAACTACGACATCAGCAAGCACTCTAACGTTCCCATGCCAAAGATATCTCTATAACACTACAAATGACTGCCGAAACCTAATCGATTCATATCTCTACACGAAAAGGCGCAACGATCGCACTTACAAGATAGTTGCGTATCGTGCCGATCGATTGCCGACTATCGATGCATTGTGTCGACTCGTCTCGATATCGATACCGCCTACGCGTGACCGCCATACGTCGTAATCGGCTTATTAGGATTTTACCGCACGCATTCATGCGGCAATGATGTCTTCACTGAGACGCATTTCGTACAAAGTTGAGTATGGAATGGAGAATTTGGCGACATTTGCAACATTTTTGTTACAACAGTGATATTTGACAACCGTTAGCAATTCTAACAATGCGATTAATAGTTAAACAGCCGTTAAATACCTAGCTAGATTGGTTTATAAGGTTGGTATTCTAAGCAGGCATGCATAAGGAAGCGCTAAAATATCTAGAATGTTTGTATTTCTTATAATTTTATTATTATCACCATCCGCCCTGGTCATTACAAATTCTACTACTTGTGAATTAACCATTAGTATCAATATATTTAAAGAGGAATGTGGCCACAGCTATTATTATTGCTCAAGTACATACATGTTAAGTACTTAGTACACATTGCCACATACTTGGGAGGCGCCGCGCGTGGGCAGAAGCGATGATCAGATGACTGATTACATCTATTTAAGAATATTAATTGTTATTTATATTTACATTTCTGTGCGGCATTTTTATGATTTCCGCACGAGACACCTTTTAAAGTACCGCAGATGGTATAAAAAGTTATAATTACTTACTAGAATCAGTCAATGCATCTTTCTTAGCCTTTACTCAACCCTCAAAAAGTTCTCGAGTGGCGACCACGGGCTGGAATACGTAGCGTGGGCAGGCCTCCTACTAGGTGGACCGACGATCTGGTAAAGGTCGCGGGAAGAACCTGGATGCGGGGGCAGCGTAGGACCGTTCACTATGGAAAACCTTGGGGGAGGCCTTTGTCCAGCAGTAAACGTCATTTGACTGAACGACGACTCAACCCTAGAAGTACTTCATCTTGTTTACAACCAACATTTGAAAAGATAAGGTATTTGTAAAAATGAAACTGCAGTAAATAAATGATCTTTCAAATAAATTGCACATTTACAGAGATTAGAAAAATTCTAAATGAGAATAAACTTCGAAAGATAATTTCAGCAAGTTAAGTCGTTATTCACGGAGAGCTTGACAACGTTATCAGTCCATAAACAGACATAGGTACACGCATAGTGAATATAGAGGCAGTAGGATCAATTTGAATGAGAGAAAAGCTAAATTATTAAAGGCTGACAATAGTGAATTTAAAATTCTGGATGCATTTTACCATTACCATAAAGTTGATTCGTAATACGTATCTATGTAAGTTTAATACATTGGAAATTAATTCATCATAAACGTGAATAAATAAATGTCAATATGTCACGAGATATAACATGTATAAAGTGTGACGAATTTACACGTGCTTTGTGACGTTTCGACTCTGAGGCAAATCAACAGTAACCTATCATTATCATAGCATGAAGTCTATTTTCATAGGCTTAAGTTCAAGTAGTACTTACTTGAGTAGAGATGAGCATGCTCAAGCTAAAAATCTGAATTCAGAATCCGGGAGAATCCGCGGGATAGGTCTACGTTTTTCTATAAGTATCACCTGTTGCAATAAAGTGTATCATCATCACCATTTCAGCCATATGATGCCAACTGCTGAACATAGGCCTCCCCCTAATGATTTCCATTATGACCGGTTGGAAGCGGCCTACATCCAGCGCCTTCATGCTACCTTTATGAAGATAGTCAGTCCACCTACTACATATATCAAATCCTACTGCATTAAAACCTGGTACACCCAGATACAGGACTCGGCCACATTTGTCACTGGCTACAGTAACGTTCAGAAGCGCAACTTTGTCTGTAACTCGGGTTGAAAACTGCTTGAAACGCAACGATATATCTAACACAAAGTTTGGAACTAGATTTGGACAAACTCATTTCTTTGTGGTGTCAGCTCAATAATTTCAAGAGCTACCGTGGCTTTTGTCTTTTGTAACAAATGCATTCGAGATTCATGTAGCAAAAAATATCTATTTATCAATCATATCTTATTCGAATAATATCACATTTAACATTTAAGCCACGGATACACTTGCATCGTTATGCGAACGAAGCTTGTTGGGAGTTAAATTTTGTATTTAATAATCACTTAAAGCTACCGATGTTGATGCTATTTTGCACAAAATATAAAGAACTGTACCTTGATGAATATTTCTGTTAATTAATTAACCGAATAAATATTCATCTAAGCGCCACACACTCGAAATATTCTTGGAAAGCACTTCAGAGGACTTCCACATACTAGGAAAACGGGCAGGTTACGCACACAGGTATCTTTACTAACAAACTTACTTGACATCAATCTACGAGGAAAAAGCTCGAAATTAAACGTTTTAATTTACATAGGCAATTTAAACAAACTAGATTCAACAATAACAGGAACAGTACTTATAACAGATCATAATCTGATCACTAAGATATCTTTATACGTAGGCTTGTTTCACTTATTTACATGACAATAATGATTAGCAGCAGAGCAGACTAATAAATGAACAAAAGAGTTCAACGAGCAGATATTGTTTTATGATAGTTTAAGACCTTTATTCTAACGGTCATCGAAATCAATAGGTACTAAGCAGTTATAGCTTTACATCTTACGAAAAACATATCGCGTGTATATCTTACAGCTACTGTAAAATTGTTTCCCAGACCACCTTCGCTCGCAATCTCAGCAGCACTTAGTACGGCGGCGCCCGTATCACACCGCGTATCGCGCGAATCAGCCGCATCATGAATTCATGATACGCGTGAAATATGGACGCGCTGCGAATTGCGCGCGCGCCCTCCGTGTGTCGCCTGATCCCTATCGCACAGCTCATACACACCTTCGTAGGGATATTATAGAAAGTTATTACAGGAATCTTTAACGCATCTAGGAGTATTGTTCAAAATTGTAGAGATGTAAGTTTTGAAACCTTCACTATGTTTTCAGCTGATTGCAAGCCACTACTGAAGGTAAGCCGCGTCCAAGTCATTAAGTGAAAGATTTCTCTACTTTTTTACGCAATCACTGTCTAATTTCTTCTTAAGGTTGCCAGTTCATCGCGCTGATCCATTACGTTAGCTAGATATTAGCTTAATTTAATGTAAAGATAAACATTATCATGATGTAACAGTTACCATGACAGAAAATTACTTACTCGTCACGAACAAGTTTGTTTAAAACTCATAAAGACAATTAACCATATTTTAATTACCCTAACAACAATTTGTGTTGATAGATTGACCTATATCCTCTTAGGCTCTGGAGTAATCCATACCAAACCAGTCGACAATATACATCTCACTCAATCTACTTAGCGACACCGATAACCGGCCATTACTAACGAAAACGCCGACAGATACTAGCATGCTCACAATTAATTGAAACTACCCACGTAATCTAATAAAAGCTAGTTCTGGCGATCAAGACAAACAAGGGCGCCCATTCGTAATTAGAACTTAATGAACATTCGGAATATTGAGTCCGGCACCGTGAGAAGTTAGTCGATAACTACGATTTGTGTCAATGTAATTAAATGTGTAGCTGCCGATTATCTTGGTCGCGGGTACCGAACTTACTAGTTTTGACTGCTTTGAGTTATTGATGAACCATCGCTGGCTGAGCCCCCCCGCTGCTTCCCCCTAATGGGAGCCAAGGCGCGCGCGGTGCACGCGCGAGGCCCGAAGGGATCTAAGACCAGTGAACGCGCGACGCATTCCTCGTTAAAATCGAAGCGCTCTTTAATTGAAATCGTATGTCGAGTCCGACATCACCGATAAGGACGCATGCGTATCTGGTGACGTCTTGACGCAAACAACCACTGGTGCAAATTGAGATGCGTCTAAAAAGCCAACAATATTACAAACTTTTCCAAGAAAAAGCACTCAGATGAAGTACAAGTTGGCATTTTATTGTCCGCTTGTTACAAGAACCAATGTTATTGATGTCTTAATTTTGAACGGATGAATTGCATAATACAACTGCGTACAATAGTGGACATTTTATAGCCGCATTCACGATACAGGCTTGACACATATGGCCATATTTATCTGAGAGGACGTTCACAATAGAATAACGATTAGTGACTATAAAGAGTCGGTTGAACGATACTCTTTATGGTGGTCTCGTAAAGTAATACAATTAGGCAATGGGCGTGCATTAACACCTCGCCACAACCTTTTCACCCACGCGAATCGGCTCTAAAACATCCAACGGGTCATGAATTTAACCTACATCTACGTTTACAGTGTACTAACCACACACGAGAGCTAACAGCGCACCCAATTTGTAGAAACGCCGTGTGTAGACATATCGAGTGTATGAGCGCTCACCTGCGGTCGAGATGCCGAGGCGAGCTCTCTTTACTTGAACGGTCACTAAAGAAGAGAAACCGCAACACGCTGTGAGTGCACACTGCCGTCATTAGCCGCGACCCAAAAGTAATCAAGCACGTTAACATGTTGTACAAACAGAATTTTGACTCACCGCAATCTTTTCCCAAGAACTCGTCAACGGCGTCCATAAATCTGAAAACAAACACACCAAATTAATATTGGCGAGAACGACCATCTCAAAATTTGTGGTAATGTGCCTAAACGCTCCGTTGGAAAACTTCAATGAATTTAAATTACCTCATTGGAAAGTAATAAAGCTATGTTGAACATGAGTTCTCTACACATTAAAGCGAAGTTAACAATAAAATTAGTCGTGGTATAACCTTACTAAACGCTCGGACCACTTGAGCAATGCGGACGATAAAAGGTGACACGGTGTGTAAGCTGATAGCAGCTGTTATTCCGCAGTAAAACATTTTAATTGGAATGCACAAAAATACGAAATCCACCCGTCACGAGTGAGATGAAATATTATCATGTATCGATCCCAGCGTGTCGCCAAGCTTTAATCGATTTTTTTACACCTAAAACCGCATGATCTGTGGTTTCTGTGGGCGTTTCGGAATTACAAGGCGTTTTGCCGACCGGTGCATTGCATTTTTCTGTCTTCAGTGAAATATGTTTGTTTTCATCATAAATGATGCCTTCGGCGCGTGAGGGGCTGCCGAGGTCCCCTTCACCACATTATTGGAATGTTTTCTAATGATTTGAGATTGTTTATGTTTCTGCGAAGAAATGTCTAATGAAAATACAGGGTTCGCAGAAAGGATTTTTGAGTTTAATATTAAAATTCTGTGAAACGAGGGTTGATCTTGATTGAGATTTGTAAATTTTGCATACTTGTCAGAATGTTGTATCACCCTCCCATAAAAACTTTAACACCAGAAACAACATTATTCAAATCAAGTTCGTTCTTCCGTCTATCGTCATCCTTAAAATTAACATTTAAAAAGGTGCGAATGAGGGATTTGACTAAAAGAGCGCTTTGTAAATTATTTAAATTTAAACTAATAACTCTTTGGTTAAACATTTGATTTATGGCAAACGGTGGCTTATTTTTCAAATTAGGATAATTTCAATGCTATCAATATCGTAAAAATCACATTAAAACTATGTAAGCTATGTAATAAAAGTGTGGATTCAACAGAAATAGACAAAGACGGATTTCCGAAAAGGCATTAAATGGCAGATGATCCATGAAATAATAGTGAATTAGAAGCAAACTTTGTTGACGTTTCCACGGAACATATTATTGTCTCTGGTCTAAAAACGTTTGCGGAGCGAAACAATCCGCGACGTGTGGCGCCGGAGAACAAACATCATTAATATGCAAAGTCATTCAATAAAATCATTCATGTTTTTTACTCCCAGTCCAGTGTATATTAAGGCCCAGTTTTTTGATTCATAGTTAAAATAACTAATTGTTAAATTTTGCTACTAATGGTTAAATATTAACAAAATGTAAACAATTAGTTAAAAAATGTACTAAAAGTCAAGCTAACCATTGTTCGAAAAACATTTTTTTCTGATATTTAACCACTTGTCATTTGACATCTGTCAAATTTGACCATTGGTTAATTTAACTACGAATCAAAAAACCGGGCTAGCTAGACTTTTAGTACATTTTTTAACTATGAGTTAACATTTTGTTAATATTTAACCATTAGTAGCAAAATTTAACAATTTGTTATTTTAACTATGAATAAAAAAACTGGGCCTTAGTCTATTATAACAATTACGACAATTTCATAGTTACTTATTCATCAAAGAAAAAAGATGTTCGGTAAATCAATTCGTCTTCACATGTTACTTACCAAGCTCTTTTATCTTAGCGAACCTGATTATAAGGTAATAACACAGTTAAACCACAAGGATTATGAATTAACATAACTTTCCAAACTAAATTGCTTTTACAAGGAATTACATGTTGTCACGAAAGATTATGAATAAATAATATCGAAATTTTAATAATCGAATTCCTGTATCTGATCAAATCCAATTCGATATGCCCACTTGTCCACTCTCTCCCAATAAAATAAAGGACGGTCTCCGTACGATGAAAAGTCCCACTTAATGTTGAATGTATTACTTAAAACTTGTAGTGCGCTTAATATATCATTCGCAAGGTCAGATTGAACATCGAACGACTTAAAAGAAGTACACAAGTAAAAACTTTCTAAGCATTTCCTGCCCTACACGGACGTCATTATTTAAAATCTGTCAAAACTGTGTAGGTACATATTTTATTACTCGGCGGGCACATCGAAGTAAGGTGAATTACATGCTTTAATATTAGTAGCGTCTTGCGTTTGTGAGATAATTTATATCTAAGCCTTATCTGGGCGGTGGATCGCTCCTGGTTAATCCGGGTATTTTTCATACGCCCGGACTGTAGTTGTGGCCCTGTATGATACTACGAGAGAATTTATGGTACGACATGTATCGCTGCAATTATTGTTCCCACAAGATGCTCACTGAATTGCGTATGAAATGATTTATAAGGAAAAACTCTACATAGTTATTCCTAAGCAAATTCCTACAGAATAACCCAAATTGGCCAGGATACTAACACGATGTAAATTTTAATTTAAATGTCTAGCTCAACCGTCCAAAGCACATGCAACAACGCATATAGAGACACTTTCCCAACATCGCGACGGACCTCACATACGCGACGCGGGCGCATCCATCATGGTAGGCTCATGTCGTCGGGCGCAACAAGCGCCGAAACCTCCACTCAGAGATAATAGGCGACACCTTGATACAACGCGAGATAAGGACGCAGGAGTTCCCATGGCGATCCTGGGCGTCTCCAAAAACCAACAAGTACCAAACGGGCAAAGGTTAAACGTGTACAAAATACAACAATGAAATATAATACATCCGGCACATAAGGAGATAGAGAAAAACATAAGATTTTGTAAACGAGAATAAAAGAAACAGTAGAAAACGACCATTAAAATGTTGCACTAGAAGTTTATTATGAAATAGTTAACGATGCTTCGTAAATATAGTGCGTAGAGGTTGATTTATGTGTGGCCGGTCAGTTCGCATATCGTGATGGCAGAGTTTACGGCGTGCGAACTGGCCGGCGGTCGGTGGCAGACTGCCGTCGGGAAGCAATTAGCAGGTGATGCATCGCCGTCATTGGCCGATCCAAGCTGCGCACGCGATCCGAAGCTGATCGCCGGCGCTTGAATTTTTCTGCTTTGTTTAAAACAAAAGTGTTTGACAATGTCAACAGCACGCATGAGCAACGAAAACATGATAATTGAACTAGTGTCAACAAATATTTGTATTACCTATTTATATACTGACGGAGATTATGTAAAACTAATAGACGGTAAGTAATGCAAGCGCGATACGTGTTCAAGGATAAGCTAACCAACAATGTCTTGTTTAATACAGGTAAGTGTTTTCTTTACATTTACGTGAATCAGCAAGCGCTGCGATGATTGCAATGAGAGAATCGATCGACAAAATCCAACGTAACTTGTAGTTTAAAGACTTGAACATATGGTCAGTTCTCACATTTCTCATAGTAATCTTCCCGGTAACATTTCAAGTTAAAAGTCAAGTTTGTAACGTAAACGGAGCGTTAGTAAGTTAACTACGCCGCCCGAGGGCCCCGCGGTGGCTGTCCTCGGCTGAGTTACAGGATTACTGGTTGGGAGGACTTTGTTTATGTAAGGAAGTGGGGCAGCCTGGTAATTTAATGGTGACACACAGAATATACAGCGGCGTGTTAAATTGTTGCGAATGGGGACTGTACTAGAGCTCAATTATAGAAAGTCAGTCATTAATGGTAAAATTTGGAGGATTTTATTGAATTACAATAAATAAAGTCTATAAGCTTATTCCGATAAGTATGCAAAATTACTTTAATACCTTTAGTAACGTCTAGTCAAATAAGCTGCGATGTGAAATCTGTAACAACCTTCATAAAATTCAAACTTTTATAGAATTTTAAAGGTGCAAATGCAAATATTATATGGCACCTTGAAAACTATCCTCATTGCGCTAAGGAAATGTAACTGTCGTAAACCGTAGAAAAGTAGTTTGCGATAATAACATGCTGATAATAATAACTTAGCTAATAAAATCGCCAGTTGAGAATCACATTTCGTGCGAAACTTTTTGTTTCTGTCGAGCGAAACTCGTGGAAATAGTGTCGTACTTACGCGCATAAACAGCGAAAAACAGGGTTTTTTTAAAAATAGCGTAACGAGAGTACAAAATAACTAAGGTTGTTTTTAATTTTGTACGCTTCTTTCTGTAACCAAAAAAAAACACGAGAAAACAATCTCGCTTTGAATTTCGACAAATAAATAGTCATAATTATGCAACCTATGGTAGTCCACAACAGGACAAAGGCTCCCCAAATAAATGCATCAAAACGCAATCTTCAATTGCATTTATAAAGAGAAATCTCTTACTCCTAAAGAAGAAGGAGAAAGAAGCATATTATGTGAAATGATTTCATCATAGATCACTCATTCAAACAAATTGAGAACAATCTAGACGATAGGTATTGTTAGTATAAGACTATAACTTTAAAGTTCAAGTACGAGGCAATGACCATCTGATTATAGCCGTCGATAACTTGTCCCATTGAGTCTTAATTACGACCAAAATTTTGACAAATGACCGAAAGGGAAACCTAACTCAACTAAAACAATTGATAGAGCCTTACAAGAGTCACGAGTCGTTCGTATGACACATTCGTTCATAGTTCAGACAAATAGCTGGCAGCTTTTATCCTGATTGAACACGATTTGTCAGTTGAAGAGGAAAATTGGTTATAACTAATGTCCTAATAAAGACGGTGTTTTATGAACGATAAAAGTTGACAGATTTATGAAAAGTAACCTCCGAGACACGGGAGTGTATAGCGCTTGTAAGATAAATAATTTCCAGAATTCGGGGTTGAAGAAATGGGAGCCGATTCGTATGCATAATAATAAGAACTGATTGAATTTTTGTATTCTTGGTCTTCATCTAGAAAATTCTTTGTGACTTGTATTTTTTTTAAACTGGCTCGCGTGATTCGTAAATACTTTATCATCATACGTAGATTTAATTAGCAGTAGTCTCAAAATCAATCATTTCTGAAAAAGGTTTATTTAGAAGTC